ATTTTTGTATGAATTTTTTATTTTTATTTCTCATTTTTAAGGGGGGATTTTAATAATTTTTTATAAAACTGATTCACATGAGGCATTTAAGCGAAAATGAATAAAAAAAATGCAATAGATTACTTAAACTGCAATTTTAGTCAGTTTTTAATTTTTGTATCCATAAAATCCGTATATGTGAGCGACTGATAATATATGTATATGCGGCGGGAAAAATTATTTTTACATGAATTTAACTATGTTTACTTGTTTTATGCGCATGCGTGTATGTTCGGTCTTATTGTTGCTTGATTTTATGAATTCCATTACGTTTGTCACTGAACTCATAACGAAGCTTCTTTTCTTCGTATCATTGAACCAACTAACACTTTATCTCAGTCACCCTTGGTCAAGGACAAGAGAGCCTGTTAAAAAAGAAAAGCAAATGAAAAATATTACTCTGATTAAATTTAACAAATCGGTTAAATGCACAAAAAGAAACGCTATCGTTAATTCAAGTTAATTATGAAAGCAACGGAAATTAAATCTGATAGATATTTTATTTTATTTATTTATTTTTTTTTTGTATAGAAATAATTTTTTTGTTTTGTTTTGTTTTAGGGCCAATGATAAAAATTTATTAGAAAATACATCAGCGGCGACATTTCATTAAAGGCCACGTGTATTTTGATTTAAAAATAACAAATTATTTCGACTTATGAAAACAAATTTTTATTACCCAGATACAGATAAAAACATCGCTCTTACACTTTTACTTAACATGTATTTTAACATGATTTTTTTTATATATAGACTTAGTTTTCATTTAGAACCGAAACATCGAAAAATGTTTTCGACCAGGTCGAGACGAAATTAATCACCATTCTCAGTTCACCTATAGTAATATGATGATAATTTTGTCAAAAATTACCAATGGTCAAATAGTTTAGCTACGCTCCAGTTATTTGATACCTTCATGAAATAACAAGTATGTACAAACAAATAAAAAAAAATATTAATATATTGTGGGTTAATTGAAGGACAGAAGAAAATGTTTACTTCTGGAAACCAAAAGGTCTATCGTTCTTACTTAATGGGAAATTGTTTCTGTCTGATAAAGTATCGTTTAATACATCGAGATCGTAGAGTTGGATTTCCAATACCATTTTATTACCATTTTTAATAACACGCTTTTGTTTCTTTTCTGCGCTGTTCAAGCAACGTCAAGGCTAAATGGGTGACCTCTTTGGAATACCAGATACTCTAAGGTTGAATCGTCAGTTGCGGGAGCTCGGGCAATTTTTGTTCCTTGCCCGGGTGTACACGCTCGGGTTCCCCACATTAAACCGACCTTGTGTCACAACCTGACCTCGTGGGTGTGGGGAGTAAATATTTACTCTAAGGTTGAATGTGCGGTTGATGTAATGGATAATGGCTCGGAATTGTTAACCGGAGATCCGAGTTTCAATTCCAGTCGGGTTCGTTATATTCACTTACACTCAAATACTTTGGAGAAAAATATGAATCCGCCTCTTCTCCCCACCAGCTATGGGTTAATTAGTAAGACATATCACTAAATCATTATCCCCACCCCAAATTCTTTTCAATCTAAAAAATATTATCTGGCTTTAAATAACCTGAAATGGGTTGATAAACCTTAGAAAACGAATCATTCATATTTTCTACGCTTTTTGATTGACATTTTTATAGAGACTGTTACTGGGAGCAGACCCCACCCCACATAACAAACAATGATTAACAGGATGGTCTTTTCATTTTCTTCTTCATCTTTTATGTTCCTTTAGGAATTGGGGATCATGGTTCTCCTGTCCTTTGTAGCTCTTAATAACTGTTATCCTTTTGCCATGCCTCCCAAACCATCTCTTTGCCATCCATTCACTGATGGTCCTCAAGTAGGATGTCTCTCGTGCCTTCAACCTGCCATGTGAGTATCAAATTTTAGAAGCCATCCTTCCTCATTATATGCCCCAGAAATTTCAGCTGTCGCTTCCTGATGTTCAGTATAAACATCTTTTTGTTGCTGTTGTCACTAGGGCTTCGTTGCTGCTCACATGTTCGGTCCATGGCATCCTCAGCATCCTTCTGTAAAACCACATTTCTTTTGCTTCAAGCTTTAAAAATCGTTGCACAATAGCAATCGTGTTTCAACACTACAAATGTGAACTCCTCGGGCGACTGTAAATTACTGGTGAGTGAATGATTAATTTCAAAAACAGAATATTTCCTCTTTTTTTTTTTTTTTTTTTTTTGAAAGAGAAACATGTTCAGCATTCACTGCCATATAGGGGGACTGAAACAGCATAACAGTTCAGTACTGTTTTCTTTGTTTCTAATGATATTTTTCTGTTTCTTAATACTTTGCTTAGCTTTTGAAAGGCATCTTTCGCTATTCCAATGCGCCTTCGGATTTCGGTGTCATACTTTTCATCCTCTGTTAATATGCTTCCTACAGAATAACACTACCAAGGAACGTTTTTGTTGCTGGAAATCCCACCCCAACCGGTTTAACATCTTTTTACCCCTATTATTGTTCGCGTAGCATATATAGGAGAGGTTTTTGCTCAACTTCACACTCCTCCACTAGATACTCATCAACTATCATGACATGCCAGAGACGAGATTTTTGTCTCTAGGGCAAAATGCTGGGACAAGTAGATTCATGCTTTTCCTTAAGGTATTACTGTTTCATTGAGCATAAAATGTCTCATGTAAAATTCGTACTCTTTTTTCGATTGCGTTTTCTTTACTGATACCACAACAATACGCCTCCATTTGATAAATAAATAAATTGCAGGGAGAAACAGATTCATGCCTTTCCTAATTATACTATTGTTTAATTGCGAATTAACTTCCTCACATAAAACTCGAACTCTTTTTTTTCCGACTTTTTTTTCTTTATTGACACCACAACATTACGCCTTCATTTAATAAATAGATAAATTGCAGGGAGAAATAGATTCATTCCTTCCCTAAATATGTTATTGTTTCATTGAGGATGGACTGCCTAACGAAATTCGAAATCGTTTTTTTCGATACCGTTTTCTTTACTGATGCGTCTACATCTCACCTCCATTTAATAAATACATACATTACAAATAGATTCATGCCTTTCGTAAATATATTATTGGTTCATTGGGGATGAACTACCTCACACGAAATTCGAACTCGTTTTTCCGTTTCTGTTTTTTTTTTACTTATACCACAACATGCCTCATTTTAGTAAATACAGAAATTGCATGGAGAAATAGATTCATGCCTTTCCTAAATATACCACCGTGTAATTTAAGCATAAACAGTATCATTCGAAACTTAAACTTCGTTTTCCTATCCCGCTTGCTACAGTGACACCACTTCATCAGTCCTCCGGTTATATATATATATATATATATATATATATATATATATATATATATAATTCACCCCAAGCAAGGCGATAATGCCACTAAGATACAAGGGGCTACTGGAAGTGAAAGAGAATTAAAAAGACTTCATAAAGAAACGTTAACCTAATCCTAAAAAGGGAACAAAGTATAAAGCGGTAAGGAGAGTGAAACATTTAGTATATATAGTTATTGCAGGGAAATATTAATTCATGCCTTTCCTGCGGATAGTACTGTTTCATTGACCATGAACAGACTCATAAAAAAATTTCAAGTCTATTTTTCGATTCCGTTTCCTTTACTGACACCACTACAACACACCTCCATGCGAGGAGAATTAGGTTCATGCCTTTTCGAAAGTTATTACTGTTAGTCGTGCATAAGCAGCTCAGCCGAAATTCACACTCTACCGTATCCATTATCCAGACGAGAACTGAAAAATGACTTGTAAAATATAATTATTGGTGAAAGATCATTATCATAATATTAATATTTCTAATTTCCTTCTTTCGAATAAAGTCCTTCCGTTAAAATTTTATTAAAAAAAAAAAGAATTTAAGCAGATTTTCTTACCAAGGAAATTAAAGATTTTCTATAACAATCATTAAACGATAACAAGGCAAAAGCAATTTCGTCACGTGACAGTTTGAAGAAAGCGAGGGATGATAATTAAACTGTCTGAATTTCTTAGATGATGTATTGTCATCATTACTGTTTTACTGCTTCTCCTCTGAACTGCTTTTTGTTGCTTTTTATTGCAACGCTCAGAACGTTTTACTTTCAACGAAGGTTCAATAAACATGAACTGGAAAATAAACACTGGGAAAATAACGACTGGCAAATTAAAGTTTTTAAATTGATGAAAAAAATATCAAGCTAGCCTAGCCATAGATAAAAAAATCATCATCTTATAATAATAGCTTTTCATATCACCTGTCTTATCAGAGACAGGATTTCATATCACCTGTGTTATCACAGGCAGGATCTAATAACACCTGTGTTATCATAGACAGGATCTCGTATCACCTGTTATCACAGACAGGATCTCATATCAACTGTGTTATTACAGACAGGATCTCATAACACCTGTGTTATCACAGACAGGATCTCATATCAACTGTGATATCACAGGAAGGATCTCGTAATACCTGTGTTATCATAGACAGGATTTCTTAAATACGTCAAAGCTTTTATTTACTTTCAACCATGCATGTATAAATATCACAGTAAATTCTGATATTTAAAAAAATCAATAAATTACCTCCATTTATATCCGGTATAGAGAGACGACGAGTCTATCTATATCCGGTATAGAGAGACGACGTGTTCATTTATATCCGGTATAGAGAGACGACAAGTTCATTTATATCCGGTATAGAGAGACGAGTCCATTTATATCCGGCATAGAGACGACGAGTCCATTTATACCTGGTATAGAGAGACAACGAGTCCATTTATGCCTGGTATAGAGAGACAACGAGTCCATTTATATCCGGTATAGAGAGACGATAAGTCCATTTATACCTGGTATAGAGAGACGACGAGTCCATTTATATCCAGTATAGAGAGACTACGAGTCCATTTATATCCGATATAGAGAGACAACGAATCTATTTATACCCGGTATAGAGAGACGACGGGTTCATTTTTATCCGGTATAGAGAGACGAGTCCATTTATATGCGGTATAGAGACGACGAGTCCATTTATACCTGGTATAGAGAGACGACGAGTCCTTTTTTATCCGGTATAGAGAGACGATAAGTCCATTTATACCTGGTATAGAGAGACGACGAGTCTATTTATATCCGGTATAGAGAGACGACGGGTTCATTTTTATCCGGTACAGACACGACGTGTTCATTTATATCCGGTATAGAGAGACGACAAGTCCATTTATACCTGGTATAGAAAGACGATGAGTCAATTTATATCCGATATAGAGAGACGACGTTTATGCTATTCTTATCGGTAACTATTGACATTGCCACTACCCACGCTTCAAACAACTCTGTGTATTCGTCAGTTACAACAAATTTATAATAGGACACAAGGAAATTGGGCAGAGAATGGACTGTATTAAAAGTCGTTTCGCCCAACAACGCCAACTGCTACTTAACCTAAAAAGTTCGAGACATGTTCTTAAATAGCCTCGTCAAGTCGAGCCTTTCATGTGGATGTTATGCATGTCGGCAAAGCTGTTCAGAAAATGCCTAAACTATCTGCTGTATACAAACGCTTTTTCTGATCAGGGATTAAAAATAGCCTCAAGTGAATGAATCTTGTAGGGATTACCGGAGACCATTCTTCTTCGAACCTCGTAGACTGGCGCCACAGAATCACAAACTGTACAGAATAACAGATGCCACATCACTTGAGGAATTTCAACAGCAGCAACAACGGATATCATATTTAAATCGGAGAGAAAATAATGACATAGTCAATCAGTTCCACACAACTTCAAATAAAAGGTTAGGAAGGAAACCTACAATCATTAATAGGAAGAAGAATAACAATTTGCAGACGTGATAGATCTATTTTTTCTGAAAAAATCTTTTTATAGAAAGATTTTAAAATTTTCATCCGATATTATCACTAGCGACTCGGTCAATGGATGCCGAATGTTTCCTTATAAGGAAACGGTTAATGTTACCTTTACCATTACTGCTCATCTACTTAATTTTAGGCAATTTATTCACATCAACAAAATACATTTTCTGATGATAATTAATCCTTTATCTCTGGTGTGGCTAATGGTGGTTTAAGGTGCTGTAAGTTCAGATGTGCGGGTGATGTTGTGGATAGTGGCTCGAAATTGTTAATCATAGAGCTAAGTTCCAATTACAGTAGGGTTCGTTATATTCACTTACGATCAAATGCCCTTGGGAACGGTATGAATCCACTTTTTTCTGTCCCCCACCTATGGGTCAATTAGTAAGAGTTGTTTTTCTAAATCACTGTTATTTTCAAAAGAGGTTTTTACAATTTAAAATTTTTTCTGGCTTTAAATAACTTGCAAAGGGTAGATAAGTCGTAGAAAAGGAATCAGTCACTCAACCACTAGTGTGTATGGTCTTTGATTGGTTTGTTTTTTTACGGCTTTTCAACGCTTTGTGAATTATTGAAAAATTGTATTGTAAGAATATTTTTTCTTTAAAAATGTTTAAAAACATTGAAAATGATTTTGCCAGACACAAGTTAAACTATTTAATCCATAGCTGGGGAGGACATGTTTTTATACCTTCCCAAGGGTATATGAATGTAACAAAGCCGATTGGAATTCGAACTCGGATCTTTAGTTGTTTACTTCGAGCTCTTATCTATTACATCACCTGTACATCCTCAGTGTGCAAGAAAGAAAAAAATACGATTATCGGGGTTTCGGGATTAATGCAAACATTACTTTGAGCTATTATAGATATTATTTTAAAATATCGTAAAATATTTTAATAGAAATAAAATAGAAGTAAATTTTCAAGGAACTGTAGAAATTTTCACCATCTCTTTCTTGCAGAGTGTCATCTTTATTTTATTATTAGATGAAGCAGTAACAATTCTTATAATTATTATATTATTAACATTGTCTATTATTTAACCTCATCGAATTTTTTAATAGCTTTTATGGCCAATTTACCCAGGTCAATAATCTACGACAGTAGGAACACATCAGTGAGTTATGTGCCATGCGTGATCATGTATCTTTCGATACATGACTGACGAGGCAGATCTTTTCTCGTAGTAGGTTGCCATTTCTTTCTGCGGTAGACCAGTTGCCATCCAAGTCTACAGAACCCGGTCTGTCCTGCTATTTACCCATAGCTGAGCGGAGAAGAAGAGGTTTCCTACTTTTCCTAAGGGTATTGGCACGTCAGTCATGTGCCATGCGTGATACACGCTTAGGCGATCATATATCTTTCGATACATGACTGACGAAGCAGATCTTTTCCCGTAGTTGGTCGCCATTTCTTCCTGCGGTAGACCAGTTGCCATCCAAGGCTATAGAACCCGGTCTGTCCTGCTATTTACTCAGCTGGTGGGGGGAGAAGAAAAAGAGGATTCATACCTTTCCCAAGGGTAATAATACGTAAGTGAATGTAATGAATTTCAGACATAAAGAAGAGGTACTAGATGAGGTTCAAACTGATGTTTCGTTTGCCACTGGGAAGCCTGGCTAAACTGTCCAGCTGATCTTGCCACTGATCTGTGAGAACCAAATGGCTTTGCAGATCTAATCTATTCCTCTACATTTAGAATCACCTAGCAAGAAGCACATTAAATATCCCGAATTTAGGATAAGCTAAATATATCGTATCCATGACAAAACCTCTATAAGCAAAAAAAAATACGTCGAAACTAGAATAAATATTCCCTATCTATGACATTCCCGCCTATGAACAGTAAATATCTCGAATCTAAGTAAAGTCACACCATTTCTGTCGAGATGAGGTGTTATCATTATTTGCACTATTTAAAAACTTTTCGGTCGTTGTATTCTCCGTCCCTTATCAGGTGCAGGTCGATCCGAATAACCAACAGCGAATTCTGAACTGAACCCTTTATTTAGTCTAGGGGACAACAGTCTCGTGGATTAAAGCACTGGTTCGTAAATCTGGTAACGTAGTGATTGTGAGTTCAATCACTGGGCTGGGCAGTGTGTACATAGCAATGATTGTTTTTTGCCATAACTTTGACAAAACTAATTTGTCATCCATCGACACGAACTTATGTTTTTATGTTTTGTGAATATCAAATTCACCAACCGCCACCTTCCTCATTATCCAACCAAGAAATTTCAACTGTCCATTATTGTTAGTATAAGTATCCTTGTTGTTTCCATCTCCCTCGTTGCTTAACCTCCGCTTTCTGAATACACACACACACAAATATATATATATATATATATATATATATATATATATATATATATTATAATTTTATCATATAGACAAAACAAATTTACTCACTACAAAGATGCAACTTGGTTTCAGTGCATTTAAACTACACTTCGACGGGTGATAATCGAAAATGGTTATTGTAGACAAGCCCTTTCGTTCTCATCGGATATATATATATATATATATATATATATATATATATATATATATATATATATATATATATATGTTTCATTACAGACGACAGATAAGATACTGCGATTAAGCATTTAATTTCTCTCGTATTCGAACAAGTGTTTCTTTTCTGGACACAGAGTGTATAGAAACTGTCCAAATGTCTTATAATTCCGATGGCTTTCGGTTATACTTTTAGCCATTATCAAGGATGATTTTATTTTTGCTTTATAATTGCGTGTATAAGCTGTGTGTACGTTTCTAGATTTATAGAGAAGTTTTATTTTCCGAACACAACACATTGTGTCCCTGCTCATTTGGACAGTTTCTAAACACTCTGTCTCCAGAAAAGAAAACACTTGTTCGAACACAAGAATAATTAAATAAAAGGCTCAATGATAGCACTATATCTGTCATCTTTAATGAAACATGTATAAATGAAGGATTGTTGCCTAAATACACAATTATATATATATATATATATATAGTGTGTGTGTGTGTGTGTGTGTGTGTGTGTGTATAAAACATTACTTTAGTAATATGATAGGCCCAAATTATTTCTATTACCACTAACGATGGGTTTTTTATGCAAAAAAGGAAGTAATTCTTGCTACATAGAGTATTTACGTAAATTCAAATATTAAAAAAAAAGTTGTTTTTTTTAATTTTACGTTTTTTGAACTTAAGACTTTGATCAATATCTCAATGTCGAAACACTTAAATGTAATCGTGTCATCTACTCCAATAGCTTCATGTCTCGTACATCCCGTCTGTGGAACTCCCTTCCTCTTACTTGCTTCCCTGATAGCTATAATCTCCAAATATTCAAATGCAATATCAATCGACATCTTCAAATGCCTTGGTCTATTCCCCGTCCTTCTCTTCATCCTTTCCTCTATTACGCCTCTTTACTCTTGCTCCCAATCTCTGTAACCCCTTACGTGCTAGTGGCACCCCGCCTTGCTTGGGATTAAATGCTTTAAAAAATCAACTGTCTTTTCCTGATTTTAAGTATGTATTCTTCTATTTTCGATTCTGTCTAGAACTTGCTAGTTGTCTAGCTGTTCTGTTCATTGTATTTTCAGTATATATCCCTAGAACCATATCTTTATTGCTTTGTGTTTCCTCATTTGTTCGAAAATTATCCAGCCTTCACTGTGTCATAGGAGAACAGAAATGACATCGCAGTTCAACACTCCCTTTTTTGTTTCTACATAACCGCTCACATACGAACCTGTGACATTTATGGAACATTTTCTACGTGATATTTGATGCATCCAGTCAGAAAGTAGACTGTTTCAGGATTTTAAGTCTTGTCCTAACCCCAAGTATGTATCAAGTTATGATCGTTTCAATTTAATTAAAACTCACAAATTTAACCATTTAATCTTAGATGATCAGTTCTGGATAGATGATTTATCTGCCTCTTTTTGATTGAAAAAGATTTGAAAAGCTGTTGAAATTAACGTTAAAAATGACAGGTTTAACTTGAAACTATTTTTAAATGACCTGGCATTTTTGCTTTCATCTTCCTCTTAATAACATTAATGCGGTTAATTGATCTGAAAATCATTCAGAGGCGCTCAGCTTAGCTCTTTTGCGCAAGCCCACTGTTTTCTAACGAAAATTTCCTGTTTTTATACTTTGTTTAGTTTCTAGAAAGCACCTTTCCGAGGAGCCTTCAGATTTTAGCCCCACATTTTCCTTCATCAATTAATACACTGCTCAG